CAGCAGATGGCCCCGCCCCTCCCTGAGCCTGATTCTGCCGGAGGTTTCTTCCTGTTAAAAGGGAGTTTTTCCTTCCCACTGTTGCCAAAGTGTATGTATTTTTGTATGTATTATTGTAGGGTCTACCTTACAATATAAAGTGTCTTGAGGTGACTGTTGTTGTGATTTGGTGCTATATAAATAAAATTTGATTGAATTGATGACTTTAGTAAGAGTTGTTTCTGTGCCGTAATTGGTTCTGAACCCATACTGCTACTCATCATAGAGACTGTGAGAATAAAGGTATTCTGTTGTTTATAAACAATATTTTAAAATATTTTGCTTTGGAGTGAAAGATTATAAATGTGTCTATAGCTATATTTCTCGAGTAGTGGTGTGATTACAGCACATTTAAGAGAAATGGGAAAATACCAGACTGTAGAGAACTGTTCATAATATTTATAAATAAAACAAAAATAATTAATTTTTGCAAACAACAAAATACAAATTAGAACAGTTGTTGGAGATGGGATCAAGTAAAAAAACTTTTTCAACTATGACTGGAAAAGCTCAATAAATGAACATCTACAGTTTGCAAGTGATTAAGTAGAGGCAAGTATGTGTTCAATGTCTTTGATTATATTTAGCTTTTTTGTGATTGGCTGACTACAAAATCTTGTAGGTAAAAATGGACTCTGAGACAAAACTGCAGCATGCAGTTAATTTGTGTTTTTGCTTCTGTGTTTCCTCAGTTTCCCAGCATGCCCTGACTGTGGTGGTGGAGGTGAATGAGGGCGAGAGATCTGTCCTGCTGTCCTGTCAGTTCTCAGGTTTTATACCTGAGCGCCCTGCAGTGATGTGGACTCGCAGTGATCTTCATCCCAAATCTCTCCACCTACAACGTGAAGGAAGAGATGATCTTGGAGGACAAAACGAGCGTTACAGCGGGCGCACATCGATGAGACCTGAGGCTCTGGACACTGGAGACTTTAGCCTCACTCTGAGAAAACCAACAAAGACTGACAGTGGAGCATACACCTGCTCCATCAGTGATGGACGAGAACAACTGAGAGTGACAGATATACAGCTGCAGGTCAAAGGTCAGCAACAAAACCAGAACGTATACAGAGTAAAACCTGAAGTTCAATAGGCTTCAGAAAAGAATTTGAATGGGGATTTGAAATTGTAGGTACTGGTGAGAAAATGGTGTTTTTAATGCTAGAAATAGCTGAGTCACTTAAAAGTTTCATCCAGTTAGTCCCAATGTGAAAATAATTCCCAAGTTGGGATCCATTGCCTTTGGATATGTCCATGTCAGCTCGCACTGGAGTAATTCACAGCCGTGAACCAGCAAAAATGAGAATCAGCTCCTCCAAGTCTGATACAATGGTCCTCATGGACCCGCATGGGCATCCAGAAAAGAGTTCAAAGTTCCCACTCTGGTCTAAGGAGCTTGGAAAGAAAAGCGTCTGGACTTCTTTAAGTTGCTTGAAGACGTTTCACCTCTCATCTGAGGAGCTTCTTCAGTTCTAAGGAACCCACTCTGATTCAAGGACCTCCAAGGTGGATGAGTTTAAGCATCTTGGGGTGTCATTCATGAGTGAGGGTACATGGTAGATGGAGACCGACAGACGAGGCAGTCAGACTCACTGTGTGTGTCTTCTATATGATACATTTAACTGACATTTTTTATTGTAACAACCAACGATTTATACAGGAAACTAATGACTATTAACAAGGTTGCCCAAACTTTTGCATCCCACTGTAGTTGGTTTAATGTGTGAGGCTGGACACAAATGAAGGAGAAAGTATTTATCTACTGGCTACGCAGAGAGTTGAAAGGATGTACTGTCTGTTTGGGTAATTAAGGATATAGATGGGAATATACTTATAGAGTGGAGAGAGTCTGTTGAAAAGCTGGAAGCAGTACTTGCTCTATCATGCTCCAGTTACCACCAGTATTATACTGCACTGTCTTTGTGGTTGATAATGGGGTTCTTGCCCTCATAGACGACCAAGAGGAGGTGACAATGTGGAAAACGTCAGACTTCATCATCCTGCCCTGCAAAACAAAACCTGAGCTGCCTGAGGGTTCTACAGTGCAGTGGACTCGCTCTGACCGAGTGGTCCATGTGTACTCAAACAGGAGTGACCACCTTAAGAACCAGGATGACCTTTACTGTGGTCGCACGAAGATGAACAAAGACCTGCTGAGAACTGGAGACCTCAGTCTGACCCTGAAATACCCCACAGAGAGAGACAGTGGAGGATACATCTGCACCATCTACAGGGACAAAGACATCCTGAGACACAAAGTAGTGCTGCAGGTCAAAGGTCAGAGATGTAAATACAGGTCAGAGGTCAGTGTTGTAGATTTGGGTCAGAGTTCAGTGTTCATGTCGTTATATTTTCTATTTCTCCACAGAACCATTTCCATCCTGGGCCACAGTTCTCCTGGTTCTCTTGGGCCTCCTGGTTCTTATTGGAATTTCTGGAGGTCTCACATATTATTTACGTCACTATTTCATGTCAAGTGAGTGTCTCCTACTACACTACCCATAATGCCGATGGTCAGCAGGTGTCCTCTGGTGGCTCCTTGACTGTGGCTCACACAAACTTGTTCCAGAAGCTGAAAGAGTTGAGAGTTACAAACAGCTGATACAGAGAGCTGAAGAGAAACTTCCAGGTTTGTTCCAGAAGTCAGAAAACCTCCTTCAGACTCAGTCATTGATCAGTGAAACAGCTCCACAACATGACTTTACTAAACAGTGTGTGTGCTTCACTGCATTGATCTGACACAGTGGCTGCATGTGGTCAAGCTGTTCTTCTTCTGTGGTGGTAAACAGCAGCTGACATGGAAACATGTGCTGACAGTAAATGTTGCAGCAGCTTCAGTAAATGTTCCTCCTTGAGTTGTGCTCAGTCATGTGGTGGAGAGCTTCAGATGTTCAGACACATGAGATCTTCATGGTTTCTGTGCTGATGTGTGTGAGACATGGCCGACTGTGGAGGCTCAGTCTGTCTGTTCTTCTGCTCTTCATCCAACATGTCTGCAGCACTTTACAGGACGCTGCAGACTAGTTACCAAAGAATGAGTCAGGAACACATCAGGAACAAACTGAGACACAATCTGACTGAGACTAGAAGACAAGGAGGGGACAGGGAGGTCATGTGACCATCACAGCTGCTGCTGATGTCATCATGCTGTGCTTTGTTGTCCTCAAAGGTTACAAGATGGAGGTGGATTCAGGGGTGGAGTCTGTCATGCTGCCCTGCAAAGCCATAGTTCACCTGCCTGAAGATGGTAAAGTGGAGTGGACGGATGAAAATGGAAAGGTCCACGTGTATGAGAACGGCTCTGACAAGCCTGAATACCAGCACCCAGATTTTAAAGCCAGAACCAAGATAAAGAAAAATCTGCTGACGCTTGGAGACTTCAGTCTGACCCTGAAATACCCGACAATCACAAACAAATACACCTGCACCGTCTACAGCAGGGAGGGAAACACCCTGATGAAGAAACACGTGAAGCTGACTGTCAAAGGTTAGTGCTGTAGATACACGTCAAAGATCATAAGTCATTAAATGGTAAACAGACTGGTCCTTATACGGTCCTTTTCACAATAACTAGAAGATGATTTGTAGCAGAACTGTGAAAATCTCCACATCCTTTCTCCATGTTATCATCCAAAGCTGTGTGAAGTTTCAGAGCTCTGCAGCTAACAGAGACTTTCAGTTTGTAACATCGTCTTCAGAACAACAAGATTAAGAAAAAAACAAAACACATAAAACCGAACATTTCCAATAAAGGAAACAAAAAGGTGGAATAAACTGATGTCTTAGTCAGTTCGTTAAATCTCTTGGATTTTCAGACAACAACATTCTTTTAGGTTATTTACCATATTTGATCAGTACCTCTCCATAGTGGTGAAGAGAGAGTTGAGTGAAGCTCTCAAATTGCGAGTCGACCTGGAAACAAGTTGTTCCCAGGCTGGAGGAGGTGGTCTGGGCTTCTCTGCTTAGGCTGCTGCCCCCACAACCTCACCCCAAATAAGCTGAAGAAGATGAAAGGATGAAAAGATGTGATCATTCTGTATATTTCAGATAAAATAAAGTTAAATGGTAAATATTATTTCATTTCACATTTTCATGTAAGACACGGTATGCCCCAGCTGTTTCAGGTAGATCCAATGATGTGTCTAACTTTCTGATAACTTTCATGGGAATTGAAAGTTGCTCATCCTGATGATGAAGGCTGACAGAGAATGACGTCCCTCTGGAATCAGAGTTTCCTGCAGTGAACATCCTGACTTTCTTTTTTAAAGACACCAAATAGTGATGTTATCTCTAACACCGAGGCTTTGAACTACACTTTATTTATTGTTGTGAAACTGTGGGTGGAGTTTGCTTCAATTGAAATCACTGATTATGTTTGAAGAGCTTCACGCTACGTCCACACGTACACGGGTATTTTTGAAAACAGAGATTTTCTGTTTTCATTTTAAAAATTAATCCCGTCCACACGTAAACGCCGAAATGAAGGAAAACGCTGCTAAGAACATGCCAAAGCAGCAGGTGGCAATATATTCCTAACCATGTAGAAATGTTGGCCAACCAGAAGTCTAGAAGCCTCGGTGGGAAAAAGTAAACAAGGATGGGGCATAGAAGCAGAACCGAGTGTGAGGAGGGACTGTGTGTGTATATGTAAGCATTTAAACACTGCAGAGAGTACAATTAACAGTAACAGCATTGTAGAAATTCATTTCACCGAAACAATAATGTGGCGCACAGTGATGTCAAAAAATGCGCACACCTTTGATGCTGCGTTTTCTGGTTTTTATTTATTTTATTTCCGGCTCTTTTTAGAGAACCGGCTCTTTCGGCTC